AGGCAGATCTGTAAACAAATCCACATGGAACAATATGACAGAGAAGTGTAGGGAGGCCTCCCTTGAGGAAGCACCAGCTTCCCTTGGAAATGATGGTGCCCTCATAAGATAGAACGTGTGTGATTAAAGGTCTCCAGGGCCTGATTTTGTCTGGTGGAAGAAAAGGCTATTTCAGACAGAATAAACAACAGATGTAAAAATCAAGCAATGTAAACAGCGCACATATTGAGGGGAGGCCCAGAGTACAGAGTGATAGGTTGTCAAGCTTGAAAGTGATACTTGATTGATTTCGAGGCAGAAAATTTTGCCAACAATGGTTGGCGCTGTAGGCAAGAGATGCAGCAAATAGGACATCCTGCCAGCAAACCGTGCAAGATCCACAAGAAGTCATTTGGTCTGTCCCCCGTAAAGGCAGTTGCAGGTGAGACTCAAAATGCAGTACATCTATGCAGAATCATTTTTAAGTTGATAATGTATTGCCTGTGGCTGGTGTTGTCAATATCCACATGGCCATTGCTGGGGGGAAAAAAAAAAAGTTCCTCTCTGCTGAATTGGAGGCTAGAATATCTCACCGCTCTGTCATCAGATCAGAGTCACTCCCCCATAGAATACTTCATACCACACCAGAGATGCGGGAAGTATACCAGGACTCTGCAGAAAGTTCACAGAAAACACGAGATGAAGTTGTTTAAAATCCATGCACAGGTCCTACATCGGGGACCCTAGGTGACATCGGGTGGCCCTTCCCCATCTCTGGGCACTGAGGCAGTTGGAGGCTGGGAGTGGTTTCTCCCCTTATCTTCCCCCACTTCCCCTGGACACAGGCAGAAGTAAAATAAAATTTGTAAACAATGGTCTCACCTACTTTCCCCCTAATTCTTGGCCCTTCCCACGGTAATCAACTATGTAAACATCATCAAAAATAAATTTTCACTGGAAAAAAAAAACCCATGCATAGTTTTTGTGTGATACTCAAAGACCCTAGTCCCACGATTACTGAGTTGTCTCAACAGTCTGCTTGCAGTTTTCTTCTATGTTAGTTCTTTCTGCTGTCTCCCTTCTTACTGTGTCTAATTTCTACTGTTTAACTAGAAAACAATTTTAAGATTTATCTGTTTTAATTGGAAAGACATTTAGATAGAGAAGGAGAGACAGAGAAAGAACTTCCCATCTTTGGCTTCATTCCCCACATGGCCACAACGGCCAGAGCTGAGCTGATCCAAAACCAGGAACTGGGAGCCTCTTCCAAGTCTCCTATGGGATTACATGGACCCAAGGACTTGAGTTATTCTACACCGCTTTCCCAGGTCATAAGCAGGCAGCTGGAGTGGAAGTATCTGAGACACGAACTGACACCTGGCACTTGCAGGAAGAGGATTAGCCTGTGAGCCACCACACTAACCCTGGAAACTTGATTTATTTTTATTGGAAAGTCAGATATACAGAGAGGAGGAGAGACAGAGACTCTTTTGTCCACTGATTCATTCCCCCTAGCGGCCGCAACCACTGGAGCTGAGCCGTTCAGAAGCCAGGAGCCTCTTCCAAGTCTCCCATGCAGATGCAAGGTCCTGGTTTTGGGCCGTCCTTAACTGCTTTCCCAGGTCACAAGCAGAGAGATGGATGGGAAGCAGGGCTGCTGGGATTAGAACCAGCACCCATACGGGATCCCAGCATATGCAAGGCAAGAACTTTAGCCACTCAGCTACTGTGCCGGGCCCTGAAGTAATAGGCTTTTAACAAGTCAATGGAGGATCCTGCGAAGGCAGTTGAAGACAGCCCAAAGCTTTGGGACCCTGTACCCATCTGGGAGACCTGGAAGAAGCTCCTGGCTCCTGGCTTCAGATCGGCTCAGCTCTGGTTGTTGCAGCTGCTTGGGGGGTGAGTCATTGGATGGAAGATTTTCCTCTCTGTCTCTCCTCCTCTCTGTGTATTTTACTTTGCAATAAAAATAAAATATTTTATAAATAAATGTATCAAGAATGGCAGCACAATGAGCAGGAGCTGGGTGACCCATAGGATATGCATTAAAACATATTATAAAAGAATATCTCCAAGTCTCCAGGTAGCTAAGTAGGTGGTGATGTCATAGCTAAGGAAGGAAATATCAGAGAATGAGGGGATCTAGAGAAAGACAAGAGAGGGGAGAGAGGTAAAGGCTTCCTTTCTGACATGTTGAGTCGGAGTTGCCTGTTGTACATACATGATGTAGCTGAACTTTGGTTTCACAGGGGCACGAACACAACCCAAAATGTCCCAGTGTTGAAAATAAATTGTCTACCACCATTAGCCAAAAATGCATAATGTCTGGAAATTCTTTATTCGGGGCTTCCCTGGATATATATATACTATTAGAAACATCCCTTTTTCAGATTTAAGCTGAAACATGTACCATCAAACATAATGGCAACTGATAACTTATGTCAGTGTCATTGCCCAGAGAATTAAACAGGACGTATGATGGAGATAACGAGGAACAGGAGCGAGAGCACGCGCCTGTGCGAGTGAGCGCCTGCATGCGCCCACACAGAGACCCTGGCAGGAACGCAGGCGCAGAGAATGGATTTTAGGGTACTTTCATTCCTTTGAATAATACAGTAGGCTTTTTATTGGTTTTCTTCTAAATGGTTTTTGGGGGTTTGTTTTTGGGGGGGCATATGGGAGGGATTTGGAGGCTAATTTTTGGGTTTTGACTGTGATCCAAGAATCTACTTTTATCTTGAATTATATTGTAAACTTTAAAGGATTGCATGTAATATTATTTGAAAGACATTTGATTATTGCAATAATACAAGGCTTCATGTGGGGATAATATAGTTAATATATATTTTAATAGCATAAGCGTGGAAATGATTTTGATCCCCCCTCCTATTTAAAAGTTGTCCTGTCTCTGCTGTTAGGTCCTGTGATAAATAAATTCTCACAAGATAAAAATAGATATATATACTTTACCTTCCTTTTCATAGCTGCTGTCATTGAATTCTTTGGTGCAAAACTGAATGTTTGGAAGATGTTATTCTTACAACAGTTGTAAGTTTGTCAAATTCTGAGTGACATAAAACAATTCTGTTTTGCTACATTCACCCTAGAATTACAGGATATAGGTATATGCAATATTTTCACAAGTGCAAGACATTTTAAAGGAAAAACGGTATCATTTAAATTTTTTCCCTACCATGTAGTCTTCAGCAAGTGGGGAATGGCTTTCTGAAGGGAGATTAGACAATAGAGCCAACTTCATTTTTTATGCACGTGAACGGAGAGGGCTTGAGGTTATTAGTTGAAACCGAGTAACCTTTCCAGGCTTTCATCTCTTTCTTTTCAAATTTGAATATGAAAAGCATATTCAAGTCAAAGACCATCACTTTAATGACATTTGGCAGTCATTTGATTTATTAGGTTTTAGAAAAAAATTTCCTTTAAATATTTCATCATACTATGCTAATCCTAGTAATATTGCCAGCTGCAGCCTTGTACCTGTATTAGTGGAGACAGAATGGTGTGGAATTTTCTCTGTCATCCTAGTAAAATTTCCATGAATCTACTGAATAATAAAATAACCTTATTGAAATATTCAGATTTGGGTTTTTAGTTAAAGTGTCTAAGAATACATAATAAAAGAAAATGTCTTTTGAAAGAAGGGGGTAAAATTACTTCATCAAATATTGAGGGGGTTTGACAGCAGTGGAAATTATTCTTCATGGGGATTTTTTACAATAGGATACTTACGCTTTTAAATTTGATTAATTATATTATATGCTTGGAAATATCTGTGTAATCACTACAGTGAATTTGCACATTGAGTTTCATTTTATTATACATTTCTAAAAAGCTGGCCCCATAAACAGCTCTTATCATCAGATTTGTCTAAGTCATATCATTTACAATTGTATGTCTCGCGGTTTGGAAAAGGAGATTTTGACAATAAAAGACAAATTACAAATTTGAAAAAGCAAATTTTACTGTAGAGTTATCTTGGTGGGATCTAACTGTGAAATCGTAGTCTTATTTAAAATCCTCAGTCAAGGGAGCATTTTTTTTCTAAAGATTTATTTTATTTTTATTGGAAAGGCAGATATATAGAGAGAAGAGACAGAGAGGAAGATCTTCCGTCCAATGATTCACTCCCCAAGTGAGCGCAACGGCCAATGCTATGCCGATCCCGAAGCCAGGAGCCTCTTCCGGGTCTCCCACACAGGTGCAGGTTCCCAAAGCTTTGGGCCGTCCATATGGGATCCCGGGTGTGCAAGGCGAGGACCTTAACCACTGCACCACCGAGCTGGGCCCCAAGGGAGCATTTTTAACTCTCATGATAGCATCTGTGACACCAGAATCTCTTAAGCGAGGGTTGAAGCGGAAGTTAAATAGACAAATATTGTTTAAGTTGTTAATTCTGCGAAAGTAAAGTAAAACCTGAATTGAAAGAAAAGCATTATATATATAATGTTGTGTATCTGAAAATTTATTACTTAATAAATGGAATATTATGGCAGAATATATGAGAAATACACATTTCTTCTTAACATAGATTCATATAGTGTCACATATTAGCTAATTGCTGTGAAGTATACAACAGGCTTTGGTCCCCGAATCACTGAGACTTTCTCAGGCACTATAGTTAAATGAAAGAGTGATCAACATGTACTTGGTTACATACTTTGAAATAAGGCCAACTGATGTTGTCATTGTGAAAGCAGAGATGAAGATCTCACCCCTGAGAACTTAGAGCCCCAAATGCAGATCTGGAGACGGCTGCCATGACACTGTTCACCTCAAACCCTGGGGCGTCAGCAGCTCATTCCTCTGGGGGAGTCGTGAATAATCTGATCTACCGCGTGTAGTATTCACGAGTGCACGATGCATTCCAGGAAAGACATTTATTAGCCTTTGGGTATTATTTAAAATTAAGCATGGAAAAGAATAAAACTTTTTTTTTTGGTCTGATTGTTTCCCTTTTTTTTTTTTTTAACTTTGGTTTTGTTTTGTTTTCACTCGTTACACAGCCATCAGAGAAAATCCGTGTTGAGATCATAGCTCTGAGCCTTACTGATTCTCGAATAACCAAGGATGCCACTATCCAGCGGCTGTTTGTCGAGTACCGATTCTACAGTCTTCCTCCTGAAGAAACTCCTGTGTCACTCCCTAAGCCCAAGAGCGGACAGTGGGTTTACTATAACTACAGCAATGGTATGTATGTGCAATTCACGTATGTCATTGGCTCTTCTGTTGGTCTTGTTCTATGAAAAAAGCCGAAGGCACTAGGATGAAGTTTGATCCTCTCAAGTTCACAGACTCATCAAAATCTTGTCAGCTTAATTAATCAAATCATTAATCTTAATGAAAATTAAACCTGTTGCTTAAGGTTTAATAACATAAAACTGAAATAATACTAAAGAGAAAACAAAAACATTAGAAAAACAATGTTTCTAGATGTTCTGCTATACTCCTTTGACAGCAGAAAGATATCCTATAAGTCTACAGTCAAATATAACTGGAAAATATAGTAAATACTTCAAAGGGAATCATCTGATTCAACTGTTCCATTGCCTAATTGTTTGCCTTTGTGATCAATGCCATCACGTATGTATATAGATCCCAGTTCCCAGATAACTCAGGCCGATGTGCTTACAGTGCCTTTGCATCACTGAACCGACACATCCGTTCTTAGCAGCACGCAGGTGTTCCCTGTTAGCTAGCTTGCTACAGAAGTGGCAGGGATCAACTCAGACCCAGAAAGTGCCCCATACACTCTTGGACCACTCAAGTGTAAGAAACTTTTAAGAATATAATGTGATCGTATAAAATCATACCAAACTGCCATGATCTTGAGTAAATTCTCCGGGAGCCCTGCTTAAAATGAACCATAAATATGGAAAATTGCAGCAGTATCTTTAGCGAAACAGGCCCCCTGATGCTAGTTAAACACTGAATTTTTTCGTCATAGCTAGTAGCTATGGCACCAGCATCCCATTTGGGTACCGGCTCATGTCCTGGATGCTCCACTTCCTATTCAATTCCTTTCTTATGATCTAGGAAAGCGGAAAATGTGATGGCTCAAGTCCTGGTGTCCCTGTGAAACCCAGAAGAAGCTCCTGGCTTCAAACTAACTCATCTCCAGCCGTGGTGAAATGCCATATGGAGAGTAAGCCAGGAAAATCATCTGTTCTCTCTCTCCCTCTCTCTACCTCTCCTTCTCTCGGTAAATAAATAAATGCATAAATGCGTAAGTAAAAGAAATCTAAAACAAAAAAATACTTCAGTGAGCACGTATAGTCAAGCTGTTGTAGGACTTTTTCTAAGATTTGGAATTGGCACTTTTAGAATTATGTTCATTGTGTGAGACAATGATCTTCAGAAAGTAGAGACCTGGTTTAATCACAATCTCTTACTAATTAGGCAATTTTAGGCAAGATGTTTAAATTTCACAATTTCTTGCTTACCTAAACATCAAGGTGCTTTCTATTTCAGCTCAAACTCTGTAAAGCAAATGGCTGAGAAATCATAGGGAAATAAGTGTGGTCAGGGCAAAACTGTGATTCCTCCTTCCTCTTATTCACTGGATGGAAAAAGAAACATTTCCAAAAACATTCTCTCAGACTTCCTAAAGATTAATTACAAAGTGACAGGCAAGCACACCATATCAAAATATCATTAGTCATGAAGGAACTGTTGAATCAACTAATTTGAATGATGATACCCCAAGAAAAAAAAATTTTTTTTTTTTTTGCAGAAGTCAGCAGTAGAATGTTGAGTTGTATTGGCCACAAAATTGTTTTTTAGAAATTGATTATACATTGAGAAACTTGGCCATGGAACAGAACAGATGTTTCCATTTGCTTAAAGAGCAATACAATTCCTTCCTTGGATCAAACCTGTGATACAAAACTCCAGGGTCCTGATTTCTGTACATTCTCACATAGTTACTCAGGTCTCTTTGGGGTTTTCTGTTGATTGATTGTTTTCAGTTTTTTTGTTAGTTTTTTTTTTTTTTCTCTTTACTGCAAAGTACCTTACTATCTGATTGTATTTTTGAAGTTGCTTATGTCTAATAAATCAGTAATTTGATAATAGCAAGAAAACCAATAATTTTTTAGAAGTAAATTCAGTGCAACTGTTTGCTATGCTTTTCTTCTAGTTCTGTTTACTGAACATTTTCACAGTAAATGGAGTTTCAAGGAGATTCTCTGGGGAAAAGGAGAAGGGATATGCTTTGCGGTTAGAAGCAAACAGATGCAGTTTTGTATCTGTTGTTTCTGGAAAAACTGAAATTCTAGGTCAACAACAAATTTGAGAAATAATGCTAACTTTCTTGAAGGTTTTACCTTTTTTTTGTCATTTGAATACAACATAATGAAAATGCTTCTTTCTAAAATTACTAGGTTTGCATTGCTATGGTGGGAGGATTTCCCTAAGTCTTTTTTAAATAAGTAATTATCTTATATAATTAGTTACCATTCACTTGTTACTTGACCTAGAAGGTCAAAATCTCATTAAATGTTAATGCCAGTGATTTTTTTTTTCCAAATGTACTTTTTGATTCAAATGGAAAATTTAGAGAACAATTAACGTGCACTGTCTCTGATTTGAACACTACACAGTGGAGTAGGTTAGCTGAACTCAGCAAAGATCCAAGTGTACAAAAGGAATTTGTATGCCGACACCTAAAATAAGTACATAGAATGAGAGGATAGGGGGCCCAGCACTGTAACCTAGTGGCTAAAATGCTCGCCTTACGTGCTCTGGGATCCCATATGGGTGCCAGTTCTAATCCCAATAGCTCTGCTTCCCATCCAGCTCTCTGCTTATGGCCTGGGAAAGCAGTCAAGGATGGCCCAAAGCCTTGGGACCCACATGGGAGACTCAGTAGAGGCTCCTGGCTCCTGGCTTCTGAACGGCTCAGCTCCAGTTGTTGCGGCCACTTAGGGAGTGAATCAGTGGACAAAAGTACTTCTTCCATGTCTCTCCTCCTCTCTGTATGTCTCATTTGCCAATAATAAAAAAAAAGAGGGTAGACAAGTGATGCCCAGGGTTATTCATTATCACATTCATTCTTTATTAAGAGATGTTAATACCATATTCACCTGCAATCCAAAAATACCTTCGTAGAAGGTATCATTAAAAAAAAAACTAAGGTTGCATTCACTTGCCAGACTCTGATAGCAAAAACAAAACATTTATATTCCACTGGACTTGATATTTTTGCTTAAGAATGCTGAGAAAGCAAGAAAGCAGGAAACAAAAATAAGATTAATGATAGATCTGAAAATATTGTCTGGGTTGAATAAAGTCTTCTAGTCAATTGACAGAGGGAAGAAAAAGATGAATGAAATTTTGTCCAGAGTTTTTATGAACCTTATATGACCAACAACTAGCCCTTGGTCCCTGAGGACTGAGCCGTGGATCTTTTGGTACAATTAAAATTTAATTCAGGGCCTGGCTCAGTGGCATAGCAGCTAAAGTTCTCACCTTGAACGCTCCGGAATCTCATATGGACACCAGTTCTAGTACCAGCGGCTCCACTTCCCATCCAACTCCCTGCCTGTGGCCTGGAAAGCAGTCAAGGACGGCCCAAAGCCTTCAGACCCTGCACCCATGTGGGAGACCTGGAAGAGCTCCTGACTCCTGGCTTTGGATCGATGCAGCACCGGCCATTGTACTCACTTGGGGAGTGAATCATTAGATGCAAGATCTTCCTCTCTGTCTCTCCTTTTCTCTGTATATCTGATTTTGCAATAAAACATAAATAAATAAAACAGATCTTTAAAAAAAATTAATTCAGAGGTGAAGATGTAGATCATCAGTTTTTGTTATTAATGGGAAGAAAAAGTTAATAGAAATAGGGATTACTGGGGTGATACCACCTTAATACCAAAGTTTTCTAAGATTTTAGGTTGTCAACTCTTTATAACTAAACCATCTGCGTTTCTTACTTCTGTCATATGACTTTAATAGAAAATATAAGGGTTTTTTCCAAACTTGCAGACATAAGAGCAATATTTATAATGGTATACACCTGAAGATCAAGGATTTGACTACTAATTTTGTATCCTCTAAAAGCTGTAAATTTTCCGTAAACTGTGGCAACATCTAGCAAGTCCTAAACAAGTATCATTTCCTTTTTTAATGATTTTTAATTTTTTTAAGATTTATTTGTTTTTATTGGAAAGTCAGGTTTACAGAGAGGAGGAGAAACAGAGCAAAAAATCTTCCATCTGCTGGTTTACTCCCCAAGTGGCCACAATGGCTGGAGCTTTGCTGATCTGATGCCAGGAGCTTCTTCTGGGTGTCTCAAGCGGGTGGAGGGTCTCAAGGCTTTGCACAACCCGCTACTGCTTTCCTAGGCCACAGGCAGGAAAGAAGGTGGGGCAGCTGGGACAAGAACTGGCACCCACATGGAATCCCAGTGCATACAAGGCGAGGACGTTAGCCACTGGGCTGCCGTGCCAGGCCCAACAAATATTTCTGCTGGAGTGAAGGATGAATAGGCAAACGTTTGAAGCATTCTGATCCTTATAACAGACATCGTTACTAACATGAGGTTTTGAAGTTGCAATCTGTGTGTGTATGTGCGTTTGTATGTTTGTGTGTGTGTGAGTGTGTTCATGCGTGTGTGTACATATCTTCTAGAGCTTCTGAACATCCACTCATGATTCTCATAGGATACTGACCTGCACTGAGGTGGCCAAAGTGTCTCTTTTTCCCAGAGCGCTTAACACAGAGACGTTCACTATTTCCTGATCCCAGTTAACAGTTAGAAAAATGGATCTTCACAATGTGCATTACTGTTGCCGCCACCAGCAACAGCACCAGCCAAGAATGTACTAGTATTGCAAATGTGCAGGCCTCACCGCAGACCTGCCGAGTTACAATCTCTGGGGACACCAACTTTCCATAGTCATCACTCAATACGTGGTGGCTATCATTGCTTTTGTCTCTATTAAGAGAATAGGAAACAGCATGCAGACCAGCTGAGTGAGCCAGAAGCACAAACAATCCTCAACAGTACCATTTGCAAAAGGAATTCTAGTGGTAATGTTTTTTGGGGGGTTTTGTTTTGTTTGTTTCTTATTTTTGTAAGTCAACTGTAGAGCTACCGTCTGTCCCACCCCAAGAAGGATTGAAAACAGGGATGCAAGAAGATACTTAGCATCCCATGTTTGTATCAGCACTTTTGTAATAGCCAAAAGATGGAAGCAAGCAAATGTCAGTCACAGAATGAATGAATAAGTAAATTGAGGTACATACGAAGGGACTTCAAAAAGTTTGAAAAATGGAATGGAATGTAAAAATAAGTTTATTTGATATTGAAATCTTTACATAACTTTCCAAAATATAGATTTTCCATGAGCTGCTTAAAGAACTCTTGTATTTAAATGGAAATATTAGTCTGCCCTAGAAGGGATTAAAACTAGTGGATATTGCAACGTGGGTAAGCCTTGAAAACATCAAAGTTAAGTGAAATGAACTGGACAGAAAAATGACAGATTCTATACAATGCTGCTTGCTGAAATACCTTGTGTAGTGAAACACATTGAGACAGGAAGTAGAGTAATTGTAACTGAAGCTGAAAGGGCAAAATGGAGCGTTTTTGTTTAATGGGTGCAGTTTCAGTTGGGATGATCAAGTTCTAGAACAGGGTGTTCATGATGATTGCAGCAATACATGGGCACTTGATGCCACCGGACTGAGTGCTCCAACTGGCAAAGCTCCACAAGGCTCTGTGCAGTAAAGTTTGTGTCAGAAATCTTTTGTCACAATAGAAAAAAAAAAAAAAACCCGTAAGCCATTGGAGTTCACCAGGACTATTCTGTATTTAATTGAAAGGCCCTTTAGTTGAAAATTTAGTCCCTTTTTTTAATCACTAAGGTTGTCTATAATTCAGACATTCTAAGCCAGTAGTAGGACATAAAAGCTTCAGAATTCTGAAGTCAAAAAAAGAAATGATGTCCCACATCTTGCATCGGGAAATCACAGCAAACATAAAGATCTTATTGAAGGGGAAAGTTCCCATCTACCTTACAATACTGGGATGCTCTAACACATGAGATACTGCCTTCCAGCGTAAGAGGGACACATCTAAGAGCACGGCCTGTTAACATGGCTAAGTAAAACAAAATACTCTGACTTCTTTGTCTTTATTGATTTCTTTCCCAGAATCTCTATAATCACGTTTCCTAACATGGTATCACTCAGAGAACAAATGGTGCTGTCTGACCTTGTTCATCTTGGATCGGTTATTTCCTTGATTATGTCTTTGGAAATTATTTCTGTTAAACTACTAGCCCTTAACAGTCACTTGAATCTCCCACTTCATGTGTCTGACTCAGTACTGGGGATATCTCTGGCGCTTACTTACTTAGTATTTGCTCAACTGAATCAACAACTAAATGAACTTGGGATTCATGATTTTGGTTTGAACTGAAATTGTCCAGAGAAATGTTTTTGTTGTAAAATACGTCTGTTCCTTCTGGAGCCTGAGAGGAATTGAGTTTAGAATAATCATGGAGAGGAACTAGCACCATGGTATGGTGGCTTAAGCTTCTGCCTTCAGTGCCGGCATCCCGTATGGGCCCAGGTTCAAGAACTCTGCTCCACTTCCAGTCACTTTGGCCTGGGAAAGCAGCAAAGGATGGCTCAAGGCCTGGTGTCCCTGCACTCACTTGGGAGACCCCGAGGGAGTCTTCTGCCTTCAGACTGGCTCAGCTCTGGCATTTACAGCCATTGTGGGAGTGAACCAACTGATGGAAGATCTTTCTCTGTCCTCGTACATGTGACCATCCCTTGTTTCATTTATTCATATCCCTATTGATAAACTTTTTTTTAATTTTACAAATGTTGTAGTGAATCTTTTAGTGCATGTCATTTTGTTCACACGAGCGAGAGTGTATGTGAAGAACTAAAACAGTGGAAGTGGTAAAAAAAAAAATACTACTTAGTGCTCTTAAGAGAAATGGAACAAATCATATATGAAGTGTGTAAAAAAATAGGATCATGGGGGATTGATCCTTGCAGTCCTAGAGGCTGAGGAAGCTCGTGATTTTCAGGCTGTGAGCTAGAACTAGAGGCTCGAGAAAGCTTCTGGTACAGTGTCAGTGGACACCTCAAGGTCCAAGAGCCAAGAGGACCAGTATGAAATCTCCGCGCCAACTTTGAATCAGGAGCCCTAATGTTAAAGGGCATTAGAAAATGGATTTGTTATCGTATGTGCAGTGGCATAGTACATCAGTCCTCCACCTGCCGTACCAACATCCATGTCTGGGGTCAGTTGTAGTCCTGGCTGCTCCACTTCCCATGCAGCTCCCTGCTTATAACCTGGAAAAGCAGTTGAGGGTGGGCCAAGGCGTTGGGACCCATGTGGGAGACCCAGAGATGGCTCCTGGCTCCTGGGTTTGGATAGGCTCGGTTCTAGCCATTGCAGCCATTTGGGGAGTGAACCAATGGATGGAAGAAATTTCTCTGTCCTCTGTAATTCTGCTTTTCCAATAAAAAAAGAAATTAAATTTAAAAGAAACAGAATAGTCATGGAGAGATGGAGAGTGGGCTGCCCCGGAAGTTAGGCCATCTTCAGGCTTGGGGACGCCTTCATCTGTCAGAGTGCCTGGGTTTGAGTTCTAGCCTCATTCTGATTCCAGCTTCCTACTCACGTGGGCCCTGGGAGGCAGCAAGTGCTGTTTCAGGTTCTTGGGCCCTGTGCCACCCCTGTGAGAGATCTCAATCGACTTTTAGGCTCTTTGCTTGCACTTCTCAGCCTGACCCAGCCTTGCTGTACCGCTCTGAAGAGTGAGCCTGTGGATAATTGATCTCTGCCTCTCTGCTTTTCAAACAAAAATTAATTTTCAATGATTGTATAAGTTAAAAACAATTATGTTTTTCACCCCTTTTACACTTTTGATCAGGTGTAATCTCTCATTTGAGGTGTGATCACAGGGGAGCCTTACCATCCAAAAATGTTTTCAGGGGTCCAGAATGTGTTTCAGCAGGTAAAGTGCTGCGTAGGATACGCACACCTTATCTCAGAACACCTAGTTTGGGTCCTGGTCTCAGCTCCGGTTTCGATCTAGCTTCCTGCTAGTGCAAATCCTAGGAGGTAGCAATGCTTTGATCCTTCTAACTCTCAGTTCCATCCTCCCAGCCTTGGCCTGGCCCAGGCCCAGCTGTTGGCGAGCATTTGAGAAATGAACTGATGGACAGAAGACTCATATTCATTTCTCTCTCTCTCTCTCTCTTTCTCTCCCTCTCCCTCTCTCCCTCCCTCCCTCTCCCTCATTCCCTCTCTGTCTCATCCTCCCTCCTTTTGAAGTAAAATGAAAATAGAGAAATGTGAAAGTCTAAACCATGACAGTTTTTACACTCTGAAGTGGCCTTTTGCCCAAGTGCATAGGCATACTCAGCATCAAGGGTCCACCATCTCCCTGCTGGGACTTGACACCAGTTACCTAATCTCCTACTACAACTAAGTGCATCTAAACTCCTGTCCCTTCTCCACATTTCTCTCCCATATTCCCCCCGCCCTACACCAGCAGACGTCAGCTTGTGGATTTCCTCAGCCCAATACACTAGATGCCTGTTTTATTGCGTGTTGTGGCAGGAGAGAAGGATTAAATTACCGAGGCTGTCAGAAAGGACAAGCACTCTGCCATACATTATCATTATCACTTGCTTCTTGGGTGAAAGAAAATGCAATAAATCCCTCAAACACAACGCAATAAAGACCGCTGGCTTCTGCCGTCGTGACTGCCAGGGCCATTAACGGGCGGTGACAGTGATGTGGCACTCTTGGATGTTGCTTGTATCTCTTCTGACAGTGTGCACATAAACCTGCCAGTGACGGGACAGGGGATCACATGACTATTCAGATTTGATTCTGCTCTCGGGAGCGGTTTTCTTCTCCCGAGTGAGGCGGCATGACTTGCATCTGTAAAAACAAGTATTTATAAGAAATACAGAATGATACTAATGTAACATATTCCTTCGGTGTGTGTGTGTGTCTATGTTTTCTTTTTGTATAGTGATCTATATGGATAAAGAAAACAACCAAGAGAAAAGAGACATCTTAAAAGCCATTCTACAGAAACAAGAGATGCCTAACAGAAGGTACTTTGGAGACTTCTAAATTATCTCATGGTTTGCATAAAAAGGATCTGTGTTGCATGAGGTGATCAAAACAAAAAAAGGCCCAGAATGAAATCGAACCCCTGGCATCTGTGACTCCTGATGTCCCGGGATGAGTACGTGCAGTCCGCTTCCTCCTGGATCGGTGGTGTCTGCAGCAGCACTGTGTGGCTGTGGCCAAGGAGGAGGATCTACAGCATAGCGCAGTCATTCCAGTGTAAATGTGAAGGATAGAACAGGTTGAAAGGACGGTGTACTGTGGAGTCTCCTGGTTCGGGTGTTAAGGTTCTTGTTGCAAGACTTATTAGCTCTGTGACCTCAGGCAAGTTGATTAGCCTCCCTCCTTGTGTTAATAATAATGATAATGCCGAGTGGGGTCATTGTGAGGATTAAATGAGATAATACATTTAACATGCATACAGTACTGCTTGGCCCAGTAGGTAGCAGTAAATAGTGGTAGGAGTTCTTGTAACAGCTTATCAGCATTTGAGACTACATTGTAGTCTGTAGTTTGTATTTTTCCCACAGCCAAAGCCAGGTTATTCCATTGAATGTGCTCGGCTTTTGGGAGTGCTCAAAGATCTCCTACTTAAAAGGAGCTCTAGTAGGTGAGAATTTGTTTTCTCAGACAGCAACCATATTGAAAACTGGTACCAACTTACAGAGCCACCGAGAAGGCCAACATTGGCCTCTCTGTCATAGCTGCAGTTACAGACACTTCAAGATGAATTATAAGCATGCTTGCTGTTTGCCAGCACCCAAGTGTCTCGTGAAAAGGAAACTAACAAGGGCAGGCATTATGCTCAGTGGTTGAGTTGGTTGGGACGCCCACACCCTCTATCAGTGGCTCTGCCTCCATTTCCAGCTTCCTGCTGAAGCAGCAGGTGGTGGATAAACCATGCGTGTGCCTACCACCCACAGGAGGGAGCTATGGAGCGCCAAGGCGCTGGGTTAGGCCTGGCCCAGCTGCAGCTACTGCAGGCATGTGGGAAGTGAATCAGCGAATGTGAGATACCTCTTGTCTCTTTGGCTTTCATTTCAAAAATAAGACAATCAACACAATAAAGTTAGACTGTGAAAACTGCGTCTGTTAAGCCATAGAATTGGCACGAAAGATTTATTCCTTTCTGCTTTCTTTTTTTTTTTTTCCCTCTTTAGCAGTCTTCTATTGAAGACATCCACCAGTAAGGAAGGCAGACTATAATAAGTAAACAAATAAACCAATCGCATATTGCAGTAATTAGTAACAGAAAATTAAACAAGTTAAATGCTAAATTAGGAAATCACAGCGAAGGTCCAGCTGAGGAGGCGACGTTCAGGCTGGTTCGTGAAGGACAGCAGCACCCAGTCAGGTCACACAGAGAGCCGGGGGAAGAGCAGCGCCAGCAGTTCCTTGAAGGAAAGTGGGGAGGTGTGCTGTGAGCCTGCAGGGGAGGTCAGCGCAGGCTGGCTGGCAGGTGGGAGGAGGCGGGAGCAGCTCAAGGAGCTCTTCCTGTTTCCACATCCACACGGGCACCTGGCACCTGCCCCAGTTGGAGCATCACAGCGCTCAGACTTGACCGTAGCCTCTTCGGGGCATGGGACCTGTATGTGTTGGCAAGACTTAAGGTAAGATGCACTTACGTATGTGTGCGTTTGCAGGTTGACCTAAGCCAAACCGTCTCTAAGTTACTTTAGTGCACTCGCCTCCCTTTTTAGAGTATGGTTAATTTTGTTTTTGATATCTTCTTTGCTAAAATGTATAAGGCCAGAAATATTACATTTTTACATCTCTAGCCTTTTGTCTGGCATTTCGAAGTCTGTTTTCCTTCCTATCTCAGGAGCCTCCTAAATTCTGCAGAGGTAGTGGTCTGCATATGCACTGTGGTCTGCGGGTATGAGACGCTGTGTAGAGATAACGCGCAGCGTGGTTATTACAGTCTCTGCAGCCTCTGACTTTGTTGGAAACCTCTCTTGTAAAATATGCATCTCGAGGCCCGCTTAACAATTTTTCTTCCAAACGTACTCATATTGGAAAAATTGCTTTCATCATCACTCATCTTTTTAAATGGAATGATACAGTCGATGTATCATTTGGGAATCTGACTCAGTTTTCAGTCGAAACTTTTCCCGTGCCAACTTTAGTTCTCAGAAACGTATAAGCTTAAGCAGCTCTAGCCAGATTTAAGATAGCAGTAATAAAAGAGCAGTCTTTTCCTTGATACTTGCGATGTTCCCGCACTGTTTACTTGTATCATCTCATTTGACCCCCCCTAAGAACCCTTGATATAAAATAAATGTAATTGTCACCGTTCCACTGGTAGGAGACAGACGGGAGAGGTTTGGTGGTTTGCCTTAGATCACACAGCTAATAAACAGGAAAGCAAGAACTCAGAATGGAAGCCTGAGCCCACCCCATGTCAGTCCTTCCGTCCTCTTCATCTAATGACGTATTCCTCTTCTGTCCGTGAAGGCCAGGATCGTAACTGCTGTGTGAGATGGTGTTACCTTTGATATTGACTGAAGGGGTTTCTGTTTTATAATCAAAATGCATTGCTAGCTATAAACAGGGACTTACTAAGGAGTGAAATGTCACAAGGCTTATTTTCCACAGATTAGTAAAAAATATATATAGATATTGTCATGTTTACCTATAAGCGTTTGGAAAGGATTCTGCTTGTGTTTTCCAAGGAATGATTTGTTAAAGACTTACATTTTTATGATCCGTGTTGTTGCTTTTTCTCTGGTTCGGGGTGGATATGTTTTACAAAGTTTAAAATACTGACGTTCACAAGCATCCATGGGTTAAGCCGTGCTGCCAAGACTATCAAAAGAGTACTTAACTGTAAATTCCTTTCATTTGGTCCATCCAAGTGTGCTTGGCCTCCATGCAAGCCACTAATTCAAATCAGTTCCATCAGAACCCTACAATTATGTGTCTAAAAGTAAAATAAAACTTGGATGCTATGGTTGTAAGTTAAAAGATTGCTGAAGTAATACGAGCATTTGATATAGCTGTTGGGCAAAGCTACAGCATTTATGGAGCATGATGCAGAATGTCGCCCAGGGAGCGTGACCTCTGCGTTCTGTGGAGCATGACGGTTGGTTGCAATGCAAGGCAGCAGCTCCAGAGTGTCCATTTGTATAGAAAATGTTGGGCCCGGTATGGTAGCCTAGCGACTGAAGTCCTCACTTTGCATGCACGGGATCCCATACAGGCTCCGGTTCGTGTCCCAGCAGCCCCACTTCCCATCCAGCTCCCTGCTTGTAACCTGGGAAAGCAGCTGAGGACAGCCCAAAGCCTTGGGATCTTACACCTAGGTTGAATACCTGGAAGAAGCTCCTGACTCCTGGCTTCAAATCAGTGTATAACCAACCATTGCAGCCACTTGGGGAGTAAATCAAAGAACAGAAGATCTTCCTTTCTGTCTCTCCTCCTCTCTGCATATCTGACTTTCCAATTAAAAAAAAATCTTAAAAAATAATTAGAGGGCCTAACGTGGTAGCCTAGCAGCCAAAGTCCTTACCTTGCACATGCCAGGATCCCATGTGGGCGCCAGTTCTAATCTCAGCTGCTCCACTTGCCACAAGCTTTCTGCTTGTGGCCTGGGAAAACAGTAGAGGACAGTCCAAAGCCTTGAGACCTGTGTGGAGACCCAGTAGAGGGACGTCTGGCTCCTGGCTTCAGATTGGCTCAGCAACAGCCATTGGGGTCACTTGGGGAGTGAACCAGTGGGTGGAAGATCTTCCTCTCTGTCTCTCTTGCTTCCTGTATATCTGACTTTACAATTTAAAAAAAAAAAATTAAATTAAAAAGAAAAGAAAAAATTAGTTCTAGAGAAAATGCTGTCTTTTTAACCTCTGTGGTTTTTATTCACTTCATCCCGTTAGTATTCAAAGGGGAGGTGTCAAAATGTGATCAGAGAGTGTGTAACAGAATGAGCATCTGTTTTTTTTTTTCGTTGCCTAGTGATTTTCTCATTTATGCAGAGATAAATGTCAGCGTTCAGAAAGTTCGTTTGCTGTAGCACTTCAAGGAGCTCCTTTGGTTGTAACTGAATGTATTGATCTTTTATTGGTGTTGGGAACCTGAAGATTGCACACTTACTGGCAAAAACCCCTTTGGGAGTGTGGGTTACGGTGAGCTCTTCTCCCTGGGTGACTCTGTGTGCCCTCTGACCCTCTCAGTGTCCGCTTCACTGTGGTCAGCGACCCGCCACAGGACGAGCAGGAGCTGGAATGTGAGGACATTGGTGTGGCTCACGTCGACCTCGGCCACGTGTTCCAGGAAGGGAGAGACATCATTGAGCAAAACATTGATGGTATGAGCAGAAGCGTTGCCCAGCCCTGGCGACCAACGGTTGCTGCAATCCAATGTCTGTTGAAACCTTTCTGTTGCCCGCCAGGGCCTTGAGCCGCACGTTGCTTGAATCCTTTGCAACTCAAGCTGACTTCCTGTTGATGCAGGAGGTCTCTCCTGACAGCCCCTTCCTTCCTTGCCCTCTCCTTTTGCCTTCTTTGGAGTCAGCAGAATTTTTAAAATCATTAATTGAGCTTCACAAGGAATTATTCATTCCTTTAGTTCAGAGGGTGAAAAAAAAAAATCAGTCTTGTTTTTAGTGTTGTTTGTGGAAGTCTCAGTTCTGCCAGGCACTTACCCTTCAGCATAGTATTCTGCGCTCTCCTGATGGTGCCTTCTCAAGGCCTCTCATTCATTCTGCAGTCCGGCGATACAGTCACTACAAATAACTCTGAGCAGTTTGATGGTTCACTTTCCACGAGGGGTCTGCACAGAGTGCGGGGTGAACGTCTGCCCCACTAAGCAGGATTCCCAGCGTTGCTGCATTTAGAGCCTGCTGATGAAATCCTATCTCGTGAATTAGACTTTTGACAGTCCGTAACGAGGGATGACCTGGGCTTCATCAACTACATTGAGAAATGAGGCTGATTTTTAGTCTTACTTGTTAGGTTAGCCATCTCTGGGGAAAAAAAAAAAAATGTACATGATTTGTTTACATAACATTCACACATCTAACAGACACTTACATGGGCACCTCCTCCAGTACCAGGTGTTCTGTATACGACAGGAGTTCATTCGTGGTTCATTATATCAAGTTTTGCCTCTGGAATGTTTGTCAAGTGCTCAAAAGTCAGAATCAAACTAAACAATTAAGTAAATTCGACTAAATGATTGAATTGGAAACTTAATGTGCTGTGTATCTGTAATGGTGTGACAGTTGGTCACAGCTTGCTTTGACACAAAGGAAGAACCTGAGAGTAGACATGTCATAACCCACACCTTGTTGAATGCTCTTAACAGGAAGAAAGGTGACAGAAATGAGCAAAATGACCTCTGCCTTTTTTTCTTGATCCCTTTTTTACAGTCACTTCTGTTTTACAACCTGTCTTCTCCTCCTGTGAGACCACAAGGGACCACCAGTGGAGACGGACATGATCAGCTGTTACAGCCGTGTTTAGGGAGCGAGTCAGAATCAGCGATGGTCAGGTCAGGAGAGCAGGCATGGGTCTCATCCAGTCCCCGTTAGGCTTAGAAGTTACTGGTCCCAAAGAAGAAGTAGAGATGGGGGGAAGAGATCTGAAGCCACCTGGGCCACTGTATTTGCCCTGTTGCTCATTTCTCTACCAAAGTCCTCGTAGTCCAAGTTTTGTTTGAGGATTTTTTTTACACATTTTCTCAAAATTAAAAAAAAAAACCACACACACATATTAAAGTAAATCAAAACTGCTATCAATTTCCAGTGTCCAGTATTCTTACAAATTCCACCACCCAGAGATGAATGGGTTGTCAGAGTGTCAGGGCATCAGGGGGCATGCCCTGGCATTCCATCACTTAGTTTGGAGAAGGATCAAGGCCCAAAAGAACATAACTGAAAGCAGGCACCCCTTGCCAGGTGAAGCTCCTGGACTCCCGAAAATTGGAGACCTTCAGTTCCTGACCTGCCTTTTTACCAAATTTTCTAGATAGGTTAGAAATTCTGGTTGCATTTGGGAGTCATAATCTTTTTCATTAAGTAAACTTGCAGATCAGAAGGTTAAGTCATAGCCCCATGTATGCAGTGCACGTGCACATGCTGTTTCTAGAATGTGCAGCTTCTTGCACACAGGACAGGGTTTGTGTTACACAGTTCTGAAATGCCCATGAACGATCATCACGTTTGGTAGAGCTAGTTCCATCTTCGCAGCCGCTGTTTTCTCCTCGCCCAGCTCAAGAAACATCTGATAAATGACATTAACACCTCCCTGCTCTTCTTGCCCTAGTTTTTGACACGGGAGCAGATGGCAAAAGTATCGGCAAGCTTAGAGTAACAGTCGAAGCTCTCCACGCCCTCCGGTCTGTCTACCAGCAATACAGAGATGACTTGGAGACTTGAAAGGAACTGCTCCAGAGGCGTCCCCTACTCCTGAGTAAATGTTCACATGAAAGCGCCTCGATGAGATTGTTTTGTAATTACTCTGGTGGATATAATCTATAATTCATGGGAAGCCAGGAGGAGGGAGGGGGAAGCCTGGGTTTTTGAAATGTTCAAATTTTGTATACTTTTCCATTTGTTTATTTTTCTATTCCCTCTTTCCCATGACTGCCACCCCTCAGGGCCTAAGTTCTTCACCACGGGTAACACCTTCTCAATAATTTATACCTACATGATAACATGAGAAAGTCTATTTGCATTTTCAACATTTTCTTAAGAAGAACTGAACTGCAGCTCCCATTTTTATTTTTAATAAGCAAAAGCATAAATTTAGAAAACCTATGAAAAAGAAATACTTTTATGTTATCCCTAATCGTCCCACTAAATGGAATGCCTATGATTAGCCTCATTAAGAGTTTTATGCTGTGAAGATTTTATTAGAAGCAATATATGAAAATTACTTGGATTAATGTGTTAATCTTCCTCTTTAAAATGCTAATATCCATTTTATGCATATTAAAGCTCAGTATGCATTTTCTTTGATGCATGCAGTTTCTATCAATTAAATATAAAGAATGGGATTTTGCACTAACTTATTAAATTACTGCAAGTTTTTTGCTTTTCTTCCTTGAAAAATAACAGTTCTGCTGTTTGGTGTTTTCTTGCATTTTTAAGGGTTCACATGCAGGGATGGATGTGTACAGGTAAGGAAGCGACAGGAAATGATGAAGTTTACACTTCAAAAATTGAGCTTACAACATAGAAATTATTCTTAAAAGTATGACTCAACTTCTGCCATGCTTAGAACCGTAAGGAGTATCTTTTTATCATTGTTTAAAATTTGTACCAAGCTTGTACAGTGCTAGGATCTATCTGAATAACCAGTCCCTCCAAAAATCAGCTCAGAACGTTCATTTTCTAGCTTTTAACCAATCTCACTGACGGATTTCATTGGTATTTTTAATGGAGCTGTGAATCAGTGCTGCAAAGGAATTGTCTCTAGAGGTCTAGGATATAATGCATTTCCTTTTTTAATTTCCTTTTTTATTTGTCATTTTCTTCAGAGGATTTTTACAGACTGTGGGTTTTCACTGTTTGCAAACAGGCTATGTTCCTTCTTAAGCATATGTAAAGTATTCGGGGAGATAAGTAATTTATTAAAATCTACCTAATTTGCCGTGATATATTAAATCTCTGCTTCAGTGATCACAGACCATTTCATTTAGAGAATTAGGCATCCCCTCTTTGTGTGATTAAAGCTCTGGAAAATGAGTTCTTTGCTCCTATTTGTGAACATTCAAAGCCTGCTAATGGCAAGAAGATGGAATAGATTATGAGACAATTCATTACAGTTCAACAGGGGGGAAAAAAAAGCAGCTATAATGCAAAAATGCAAGTATGAATATCTGCATATAGTTTGAACCATCTGTGCTCTAATGGCTTCAATAATGACTCATCTTTAGGAGGCTTTGAAATGACATCCGCACAATAGTAATTTGTTGATGTACATTGTGGGACCAGTAGAGTATGATCTGACCACAGAAATCTATAAATTCTGTCTGTACCAGTGGGCCTCCCTGTCCTGGGGCCTGCCATGCCCAAGAAGAATCTTGCTCTCATCAAACTCTGCAGATCTTCATAACAACTCATTCCTCTGGAACCTTGCAGAGACCACAAACATCTGCGGACAAAACCCCTCCGATCCTAGTAAACAACCACATGTTTGTTGTCACTTCAGCTGGCTCTGAGCTCATCTTTTTGGCCTCTCTCTCCAGCTTTCTTTGGCTTTGTGCAGTTACAGTGTCATTAAGGGCCGTGATATTCCCTGCCGTAATTTAAAACAGCTAGATTATACCCTGGGAGTAACTGAGTGGTTTTTGAGACATTTATTGTGGTATTCTCCCAGGAGGTTTGTATTATTGTTTTAAAATGTTACATCCCAAACTAAATACCCTTGCAGCAGGGGAGAAGAACCAGACTGTGTTGACTTCTTGGGATCTTTTAGTAGAGAGGGGAAATATCTATTAGAAAACTTCAGGGATCTCATCAACCATATGGAATACCTACCTCAGATAAGGTTAGGAGATTAACCAACATTTCTGTCACATTCATGTTTACTGTAATGTAATATCGAATATTTCTTTGCTAATCTTAAAATATTCAGTTTCAAACTATTGCAGAGTTTTTGCAGCACTTATTCGCACATGCGGTCGCTGCTGGCACGTTTTGAGTGGGTGAGTAATCCCGAATGCTACTGTAGAGAAACTTCGGTTGGTTTTCATAGTCTACCCAAGGACTGCTTTGTTTGGTTTTGTCCTGTTATTCACCAAAAAGGGAAAACAAAAAAAAAAAAAGGTTGCTCTCCTTTGGATGTTTTATCTTGGTGGGCCACTCTGTCTAGTGGGGATGGCCCGGGCTCAACAGGCCAGCAGCAATGGCCTTGCCACACAGCTGCATCAGTACGAACTTGCAGCTTTTAGGGAAACTACACTCAGTACACTCAGCACTTTTTCGGATTGTAATGCTTTTAGTTTAGAAATATAAATAGAGATGTGATGTGGTATGTGGGAGAGTGTATTTTACATGTTTTTTTGCCTACTGTAGTAGAAATGTCAAATTCCCAGCCACTGTACTGAGAAGCAGTTGACAAAAATAAGTTTTATGGTTTACAGTGTGGTTTACGTAGAGAACATTTCTCTTCACTCTCAGTTTCAACATGTTTTCTAAATTATCATGGTTTGTTGCCATTTAACTTAAATTAGGTTTTTTTAGAGAATAAATAGAGAATATGTTTAATCAAATAAAGAAAGGCCACATTGAAATTCTGCTGTTCCTGCCATTCATTTGTTACCACAAAACACAAATACTTTCTCTGTGTTATGAAAAAGCGCGGACTCAGAAGCGCTCATGTGAGCTGAGAGGTTCTGCGTGCAGCCATGTTCCCACAACAAAACGTAAATTATTTTAGTAATCTGACATCAAGAGCTGTGACAATGAAAACCAGTTCTTACACATGTTCTAACAAGAATCTGATTAACATTTTTGTGGATATGGAAAATAACTTTTTTTAGAAATACTGGCACCATTGCTGAATTTAGAATGATTTCCTTATGCACCAAATAGCAAAATGTGAATCATGTCTGTGAACAAATATGAGAATAAAATGTCATCTTTGTGTAATACAAAACAAGCAAGAGAGCGCTTTGGGATATAAAACCATCAAGTGATTGACAATATCACGATTATAATTCATCCCCAACCATGAGTGTATATTTTAATAAGTCACTCATGCCCGAAGGCCCCTGACTACCTTAACAAAAAATAACTAAACCCGTGATTTATTATAGGTTGGACAACAGGCTTAATTAAATCCATGAATGGGAGCAAACACAGCTCTACATCCTCTTTGTTCAGAATAAAAACAACCTCCAGTCAACCAGAAAGCTAAAAAAGTATCAAAGGAGTAGAAACAAGTGAATTAAAAACCCAAAATTTGGAAGTAAAAAACATCTCTCCAACCTAATCTCTTTTATCTCACAAGATGGAATTTCCACTTGCACTTCCGAGTGTGTCCTGATGGGCTCAGGCCATGCCACACTGGGCCCCCGTGCTGGTAGCAGAGTATGTGTGTGTTCCTGCCCTTTCATTTTCAGCGGGGCATTGACCAAGCCATGAAGCCAAGTTTCCTCTTAGGGCTTTCTGAAGTAAAATTTGGGATTCTCCAACTTGGAACATGACCTCTTTCCTGAGCCAAATGCCTTTAGACTCTCCTGGTCCTTTTTGCGCCTTCTCACTTAATTGAGATTCACTTTCTGATCCCTGAAACAGCGTCCTCTCTCTTCACTGAACACCATTTGTTCTCTTTCTTTGTAAAGTGTAGTATCTGGATATTAAATTAAATTATTTAATGTTATGTTTAATTATTGAATTTTAGTCACAGCTAAACCCGTTCTTGCCTATATTGTATCTTCCTATATTCTGCCACGCGTCTGCCCCCTACACCTGTCTTTGCACTTATTTTTAGTCAAAGCACATTTTTTCACCTTCTGCTTCTCCGACCACTTCTGTACATACCAGCATCTGTGACAGCTCCAGTGGCCTTCCCAAAACGTTCCTTTGTGTTAAGACACTTGTCTTAATTTAACATGACAGGGACACTCTTAGTCAGCCATTATGAAACTGAGGAATCCGCAAGCTAATTTTTGTATCTTTGCAGCTTGTACCTTTTTACACTGATGTTAACAGAAGTTGGAACTCCGAGAGCTCTCTCGCGCCACTGGAAAGGAACTGAAGCAGAAAGCTTGGTTAAAATTTCATCGTGTCATTAAAATGGAGCTGCGCTTGGTGTAAATATGGTTTGTCATTGTCACACATGTCATCAGTAACAGGAAATAATAAGAGACATTCAAGAGAAAACTTAAGGGACAGTCCGTACATACTGCAAGTGGGGAAGGCTCTTCTTCAGCAGAGGGAGAAGACGGGGGCTAGGTAACAGCAGACGGACATGCTGAGTGTGTACACAGAGTGGCCGCTTGTACTGTCAGAAAAATCAAGGGGTGGAGAAAGACATTTTATGCTATTGAATGGAATAAATCAAAGAAACACACAATTAAAGATATATACATCCAACAGTATTGCTTCAAAAAACATAAAAGAACAACTGATGGAACTGTGGAATGTATAACCACATCAGTTTTTAACAGCAGAGAGGTCAAAAAACTGAAAAAAAAAATCAGATCTGTTCAATGTGACTCTTAAGTTCAAGCGGATGTGGAATGCGCATGAGCACAGGAAAAGGCAAGTGTGTACATAGCCACAGATGACATCTCAACTTCCAAGAAACCAAAAGCTTAGACTGTGTTTCAGCATAAAGCAATGAACTTAGAAATCATTGGCAAAATCACAGCCGAAACAATTCAATCTAAAAGTTTAAACTGTGTAGGTTTTAATCTTTTTAGCTGACAAAATAATCATATTTTATGGTTGTCTTATTGTTCTGGGTTCTAATGAGATGGGAAAATAACCCATTCCTGCACCATATCAAGGAAACAAAAACTTTCTACAAACCGCCACCACATGTATAGAGGGAGACGGGCGCTGGGGAAATAAACATCACCCCAGAAGCCCACGTGGGGAGCAGGAGAGAGGAGAGTGGCAGGATTCCAGAGCGGTGGAACACGTGCTATGGGCTGCAGTTCCGACAGAGGGCAGAGGGCCGTCGTGAGCAGGGCAAGGATGAGAACTTGTCCCAGGCCCGGTGCGGGACAGGATTGGCTGCTGGAGAATGGGAAGAAGAGGCTTCGAAAGCGCACAGAAGCAGAGTTGAACAACTTGGGAACAGGACTTCTGGAAGAGAAGGTGGTTGGAATCACACCGAGAGCGTGGTACTGAAATGGAGAAAGGAACCAGCTGGATCAGGAAGGTAGACTGCTCCTTAGTGAGGAAGACCCCCGCTCAGCTAAGCAGCCTGTGGAGCAGCCCAGGCCTCTCCCCAGCACTTGATTGTCTGCCATGGTCAGACCAGAAAATCCCAAATCACGTGA